ACAGCAAAAGCAAAAATAATTACCCAGTTCTGCTTCGGCTGTCATCACTGCCCCATTAGCATGTCTACACATTTTTGGCAGGCAAGCAGCTTCCTGCCTTGTTTGAGTATCCCCTGATGTCCTAAAGCAATCGAAGGAATTCCTGGTCCTCGCTGCAGCAGACGCCTTCCACTGACGTTGACAAAAATCTGTGGTTTATCTCCGAAGATGATGCGACAAGATGAGGATTTGAAGATTTGCACGGAAAAGATTTGAAGATTTGCACCCAGAAGCTTGCTGAGAAAGAGATTTTTTTTTTGCAAGCATAAATAATTCCATAGGAGACCCCCTATGTATTCAGACAGGCGCCAAGGCCTCACCTGCACCGAGTCGGCTGAGCCGACCTCTCTCCTCTCTCCGAAGCCTCCCGAAATGTTTCTGATCTACACGATCCGACCACTCAGCATCTGGGCTCGCCAACAGCTCCTGCAATCGTAACTCACTCCCAAGGAACCAAGAGAGGAAAAAGGGATGGGAAAAAGCTTACGACACCAGCTGTCTCCAATCTGTGCCGGGAGCCAGTAGCACGACTCGTGGCGCTGCAATCAGGTTGCGTCATCCAAAAACACGCCCGAAATTCTCCTCGCCACGAGGGAGGAAACCTGTGCAAATCGGAGGATTTTGAAGGGAAACGTTGAGGTAATTTGGAGCTCCACAGTGCAGTCCTGTCCGTCCTTCCCGTGAGGATTGTAACGTGAATCCTGAAGCTCCTCTTGCAGAATACAACGATTTCACTACGTGTCACCAAAATAAAGCTGAAAGATCCTAAGCTATAATGTCTTTATAAATGACTGTTCTGTTTTGAAAATAATTGGCTTCATTTCACAGTCAATTGGCATCCAAAAAAAAAAAGAGATTGCTTGCAGCTTTCGGGTGCAAACACTCTGAAGACGTGTGGGAGTATTTCCTTAGAAATAAATTCCTGAATCATAACTACTATGCTTGAACTAACGCATTAATAAAACCATCAATAAATGCTTCAAAAGCCCCCCCCCCAAGTGACACGGATCCCTATTATATGGAGAAGCAAAACCAGCAATGTTTTGCTAGCGTAACAGCTCTTCCAGTGAGGATAACCACCCTTGTTGGTGAGAGCCTTTACAATATCATCCCATCCTACAGGGAAGGCCCTCAAAATGTACAGTCCTGTACGAGCTTCATCCACAAGCATTAACTGAGCAGCAACCCAAGGAAAATGAAGGTGCTCAAGACACGCGACTACTTCGGAATTTCATTAAAACCTCTGGTATTGCAACCAATAAACAGCAACGTGTTTCTTTAGAAACTCCACGAAGTTCCAGAAAAAAAAAAAGGTTAGAATAAAATGCAGACCTGTTATTTTCGCAAGTCTGCGGAGGAAATTCTTCTTGGCTCAGTTATGAAGCAGCGTATTATTTATAAAAGCCCATCCTCGCGTTTACTTTGGAGAACTGCTGTTCCAAGTGAATGTGGCTTGGCGAGGAAGACACACATCTGAATGTTTCATATAAGGAATGACAGAGAGACATCCTGAACAACCCAAACAGGATGAGAAAGAGAAACCCGAATGTGTTCCGTGACTCAACAGAGAACCCAAATTAAGGAACTGGCAGCAGCGTGAAGAGAGGGCCCTCATCAAGCTGTGAGCCCGACTGACACCACCCTGCAGCAACAGGGCTTAAATCCCATCCTCCATCCAGCACCCTGACTTCGTGGGGATTCTTTTGCAGATCTTGTTGGATCGTTCTGCCTTGGTGAAGGAAGATATGCTCTTCGTGCCAGACATCAGGAACCTTGCTTCGGTAGCTCCTTCCACGATGCTAGATTACCATTAGCAGGATTACTCCAGACACTCCTTTTTGTGTTAATCTGTAGCGTAATCAAATTCAAAAGCCTTTAAGCATCATCCCACCAGCAAATGGGAGAGAATCAACTGATTTGGAAAGAATTTTACCGTCCTTTTAGTTAAAAAAAGGAAATCTATGCCTGTTTTAGGCCCCACTACATCATGTCACACACACAGCTCAATGCACCTTTCTTGAATCAACAAGTTTCCCACCAAAAGAAGCACCACCACAAAATGAAAACAAGCTGCCAGTTGTTTCTATTCAATGCCCAGCGAGCTTCCTTGAAACACAACAGATTAAGCATTCCCATATAATTGCCTTTCTCCCCCAAATCACTGAATTTAAAAGGTTACACCAGTTATTTCCAGACACGCCTTCCAAAATGCTGCATGCAAAAAAGGCCAAATGATTACCTGGAACAGTTTCAGGAGGAGGACACTAGCACTGAAGTTTTAGGATGGATTCTCCTGAATCAGCTTTATATTATGCGAACAGAAGCATTTGCCAACGGCACCCGAATTATCCCCTAATCAGGGCTTTCAGACTTAGCAAGCAGTATCTTAAAATAACCGATTAGATCAGAAAAGTTAATGAGTTTCAGAGAACGGAGTTCTAGATAACTTTTTTTTTTTCAGCATATTCACGAAGGAACACTGAGCCATTTCCTCAGAGGGCACCTTTTCATCTCAGCCATGAACATACGGCTAGGGACACTTCTAAACGAGGGAGGGAACAAAAAGCCCAGACCATGAAGATTATTTTAAAGAACGAAGCCTGACACTACCCAATTTGACAACTTTAAGCTGAAACGTAAAGAATGAAGCCCTCAACCACATCCCAAATACTCACTACAAAGTGCGTTCTCTTTCACACTAGAGAATCAACATTTCTTAGTGTATTGGAGCTACATTTGCAGCACCCCCAGGCTACTCCTGAACTCCAGCAGGGAAGGGAAGCACCTGGGGCACCCCTGCATAACCCAGCAGCACCCTGCAGCTTCACAGCTGGAGAGCGAGCACTTTGCAAGAGGGTTGCTTCCACCTGCTGGAGATGGGAAACATTAATGCGAGACCACGAGACCCCACTGCTCGTGGGTAGCCCCATGCTTTGGGGTAGCAGGGATGCTTCTCTTCTTCACCGTGCACTGGAAGAGAAGTGATCCCTCCTGCGAGGCCCACGGTGACCTCCCAAAACCACACGCCAAGGGACACAAGCACACAAGGCTCGCTGCTCCCAAACGCCTGAGTGCAAACTAAGCCCGAATGCGCACGGATCTGAGATCCGCCTACATCACACCCCAAAAATCTCTCCCTAAAAATCAGAGAAATCAACCCAAGGCACATGCAAGGCTCCCCCTGTACCGCAGGGGTGTCGGAGCACCACAAGTGCTGCTGTTTGGTTCTTTTTGCTCTGCTAGGGCTGGTGGAACACGAAAACCCCTCACCCAGCCTCCACCGTTCATTAGGAACACCTCTTTTATCGGGAACTGTGTTTAAGACAAGATTTGCAATAAATAATTTGGTTGCATCTGCAGCACTGAGTCAACACCCAAAGCCATCTTCTCATCTGCAAACAGCTGTAAAGAAAAGGGCCACCTCTGTTTAATTCCTTAACAATTGGGAATTAATTGATGTAGCCATCACTCAGCCTCCCGTAACACAATCTCTAACATTTGGCACTCTTTTCAAAAGCATAAAGACCTTCTATTTATAGGCTGTTGGCTAAGATCAGTGCTACATTTCTGCTTCTGGAGTCACCGCAACACGTGTGGTTTGCCTCGTATACCTGTCCAAAACCCGCGCACCTCGTAGACAGCACAAGTGGTGGAGTTGTTTTTATGGGATGCTACCAAAAACCTGTGCCAACAGCATCCTAAGCAGCCCAGGGTGAGACTTCACTAACAACAATTCTAGAGCACAGGCGTTGTAAAGCCAAGATTTATCATAAATCACTGTTATCTTAAGTTATCTCACATTTTTGCTTCTAACTGAAGTTGTTTAGATTTTATCATCAGCCAATTAGAATAATTACATGCGAGCCGACTGCAGTAGATAACTGTAAAATGTAATGCATCCAAAGATATTTGTCGAGTTACCCATCCATTTAAATACCAATGAAAGCCACATTTAAACATCAGTCTGCAAGCAACTTAAACATCCTTTTCCAGCCCATAAAGGCTCCTCAGACTTTCAGTACTGCTTACACGCTTATTTCAGCCGAATCTGACACCAGAATCTCACACACCCTTCTCCTGGCTGGCTCGGAGTCTGGTGTGCAGGGAAAGAGGCTAACTCACATCACAGACTAAATTCTTCAGCCTGAGGGGGTACCACACCACGCTGTCTTCAAGTCCTTAGGAAAAAAAAAGAAATCCACACCAAACCCCCCTACATCACCAGCGTTCCTGGATCTATTTATTGCACACAACTAGCGAATCAAAAAGCACAGTCATCTTCATTTGGAGACAAAAATAACTACCAAAAGGTTCAGAAGTCAAGAAAACATCTCCCTCCCTGGCTATAATTTTTTTAAAAAGCAGCCGCTCAGACTACAAATAATCACACACCAAAATACATTTTTAAGCTTTGGAAATACCTCAAAAAACAGAATCCTGAAAGTTACCGGCCACCCACCCTGCTACTACCACCAACAAGCTCTGGTGGCTTCCCTGCACATCAGAGTGACACCTGAGCATCACAAAGTACTGAACCTCGTACCATCAAGAGTCACTAAATCACACCTCTGCGTGGCTAATTACACCATCAATACATATGCAAGGAAAATTCCTCAACGCTGACACGAAGTGATGAGCTTTACAGACCTGTCAAAATAAATTCTAATCTTTCATCTCATTAATTCCCATGATTATAATGGGGTTTGGGGGCGATGTAAGCTGATCTACATTCAAGGCCGAAAAAGAATTACCACCTTTTTTCACAGCAGAACCAGCACGGCTGCAACACGGGCTCCCGGCTGAGCTGCACAGTGCCTGAGAATCGCTGGCAACGCAGGTTTTCACATTTCTCACACTCCGACAAGCTAATACATCTCAGAGACTGATAAGATCATACCATAAACAGATATAATTAACTCAGCATTTCCCATGTCAGCGACGGAAACGGAAGAGTGACTTACTTGGGTCTCGACTGCTGTACGGCCATCCCGAGGCAGGTAAAAAAGACGGCATGGGGGAACTCGTCCTGCTGTCGTCCTCCACTTGCTGCGTAATGTGACGCACAGTTTCTTTATTTTTCCTGTTCTTTCTGCGCCCCGTGGGCTGCCAGCCATCCCCTACTCCTTGTTCCGAGAAAGTGTTCTGTATTGCACTATCCTTGGCTGAATGGAGTTCGCTCCCTCCGTAATGCGAGGGCGAAACCTGCTCCTCTTTGATGCGTAAAGACCCGTAGCCCATGTCGCTAGACCAAAGGGACTGGGATGAAATGTCTTCGTGGCTGTCTGTTTTTGGTTCTTGATCCTCTTTGCCGTAACTGCTCCCTCCTTCGTGGCAGCTGGCGATCGCTGAGTCTCCGGAAGAGTTGGCTGGACTCGTTCGCCGGGCTAACCAGGGCGATATACTCCTGCCAGCCACCACCGCCGAAATCAAAGCATCCGTGCTGCTGCTGGAGGGGGCTCCCAGTTCGTAATCGACGAGGTCGTCCGAGGCGTCGGACTTTATGCTGATGTCGAGAGCTGCTTTGATGAAGTTGTGACAGGCTTGTACAATATCCGTCATCTGCAGGTAGCTGGCAGCCGACATCACCTCGATGACGTTCCTGCTGGTCAGCGCGAGGTGCGCCGAGTACATGAAGTCAATGATTGCTTTAAAGCCCTGTGCAGTTACAATGTCTAAGTGGGTGACCGTGGCCTGGTCGGAGGTTTTCTGTACCTGGCAGTACAGCGTTTTGAAGTAGCGACTGCTCCCGAGCAGAACGTTTTTGTGAGCCTTAAATATCTTGCCCTCCACTATAATGCAAACATCGCAGAGGATGCCGTGCTGTCTCTGCTCGTTGAGCTCACGAAGCAGATGCCGGTAGTGCGAAGTAATCTCCATATCTTCCTTTCGGTTATTCATTTGGAAATCTTTGTGTTTCCTCTTCCACAAGTCCTGTAAGGGGAAGGAAACGACTGGATTACAACACCCAAAACAAACTCACAGACACGCTTTTCTAAGACTCAATGAGACCAACCCCACATTGCACCAAATTAAATAACAGGTTCCTCTTGAAAGAATCCCACAAAATACAACTGCCTAGAAAGATGCTACACGTATTACACAATGAAGCATTTTTTTTTTTTTTTTTTTTTACCAGACTTCAAGTAATTTACATTAAAAGAGACTAGATTTGAAGCTCAGTCTCCAGCATCTCACAGCATCCCAGAGAAATGTTTCTTTAAATCACTGCAGACTTGTAAGAAAACCTGTCTGGAGTTACTCGGGTAAAACAGCTGCCAGTTTTCACTGTTTGGGTTCAGTAAAGTTTGGTTTTGACAGAAGTACTACACTTGAAACCACGCTGATGGATACAAACTATTGAAGAGCACTCTGAAACACAATTTCCTCAAGGGAAAAAGCATTATGCGTAGCACACTGAATAGCTGAAATCCTCAAACAGCAGAAGCCAATTGAAACCAGCTATTTCCCTTGCTATATTGCCGTTGAGGGGCTATAAATACTGTTTTCAAGCCAGAAGAGCAATAGACAAATCCAAGACCACAGATCACAAAATCTCAAGTCCCCACCCAAACTAACTGGTGACGGATCAGAACTATGAAATTAATGTTATTTGAAGCTTAACTACTTATAGGCACAGCATTTTTAACTTTGCAATAAAACACGTTATTTCCTTGGCTTTATATCTCCAAGTTTACCCCACAGCCACCCTAAAGCATTGGATAAAGAATTCTAATAAATCACCTAAACAGTCATTTTTAGCAAGGATGCTTTTATGCCCAGAATAACAAGGCATCCATCAAGCTGATACAAATTCTTAGGACTTTTGATCACCTTCCATAACATTTGACAGCGTGCTCAAAAAAAAAAATGACAAGTTAGTGCTAGCAGCAAGACAGACACTTGTGTCGTGTAACTTACATCCAAAGTGATCTTCCTTTGATATTTCAAACCAGGGGAAAGAGAAGCCTTAAATCTGGATAGGTTAACAGTAATCAATAGCACTATATTTTCAGACTGAATTTTATTCTCCCTGCAAAGCAAAAGTAAGAGAAGCGATACATCAATATGGACCAGTGCTCACGGGCTTTCGGCACAGCTTTAAGTCTCTCCTGTGATGCAGTTTGGTCGGTTCCCTCTTCAGCATCTCTCAGGAGCTCCTTGTCCTTCTTCTCCCAAGGTAGTGCTCGGCTGACACCCCGTGTGCCAGCTCAGCCCCCCGGCTCACAGCATCCCCGTGTTGGCCAAGGGAGGAGGCTGCCAGTGCCCAACAACCCCACCAAGTCCCCACCACACCAACGCCGTGCTCACCTTTCCTGCCACAACTTCACAAATTCCTAATTTCTGGCATTTCACCTCACTTATAGCAGCTCCTTGGAGCTTGTCGTCAAGATTTATATCCCACGTCACAGTGGTTTAACTGTCCAACTAATTAAGAGTGCCAAGCTGCCATACGGTGTGAAGGATAACTGGAACTACTCCTTCCTTTCAAAAGCTTACATTTTGTTCCAATAAAAGGAGTTCTAACTGTAAAGCTGATGTGGGAGCCTACATCTCAAGATACAGCTGTAAAATTGGTATGTGCTGACAAGACCAGATTTGGAGTGCAATTATGGGCAGGCACACACAGCGGAGGCCTGCATTCGGGATTCTGGTGGTTCCTGATAAAAACAAAAATCACCGTGAGAACAAAACGCTGAGGTCTCCCAGGCTTAAAGCACACATGGTTAAATACAAGCACTGTCAGTAAGGAGGCTGCTGAGAGCTCGAAGCAACTTCTGAGCACGCCTCGAGTTCAAGCACACGCTCGGGCCCATCTGTTCGAGTCGCCTCGCAGCATGGGGCCGGCCTAGGACAGCCACAACTCCGAGCTTATTGACACGTGCAAACGGGTTCCCAGTGCCATGGGGCACAGCTACGTAATGCCTGTGCCCCCTTCCCTACTCTGTGCTATTAATACCCCCCCCAAAAGCGGAACAGCTACAGCTTCGCCGACACCGTTGGTTATAGAGCCGCCCCTCGGCCCACAGACCATACGGCGCCCAGGACCTCTCCTGCAGAGGATCCACCTGATGATTACACAACTTCTGCCTGCACAGGCTTCCTCGGCCTGCACGAACCCAGCTGTCTCCTCGGCAGTGTCAGAAATGTTAATTTGCCAGAGCAGCTGGGCCCTAACCATTGAAAAACATTCGCTTTCCCCAAAGAGGAAGGACCATCTTCCTTCCTGCAGCGCAAACAGGCTTTACTGGTGTTTATGTATTTCAGCTCTCTGCAGCTTTTCGACAGAATTAAGCACAAAGAAGCTTACCCTTTTTATTTGAAGGGGAAGAGGTCAATAGCAGCGTAGCTCTACGCTATGTGAACAGCGCTACCCACGTAATGCTGAAATCCATCTGGGGACTTCAGTCAAGGTCTGACACAAAAGCCACCTCCACCTCAATAAATGGAAATAGCCAAGCAAGAAACAGTTGGGGAGCAAGAACCAGAACTGATATTTGAAATGGCCTTTGGAAAGGCCTGAAAAGATCCTGTTAGACCCATCCAGAACTGAAACTCCCTAATCCACGCTCTGAAGGTGGCTGCCACCGCTCCCCAGCATCTTCAGTTTTGAGAGAACCACCTTTTAAGGCCGAGCGACAGTTCAGTTTTGTCCTTATTCCAGAAACCACTACTGCATCTACTTTTAGGAGCTGACGAGTCAGCTTAGTCCCCTCAGGAAACACGAATTGCCACACAGCATAAAGTGAGTTGTCCGTCACCAATTCTGTCTTCAACAGCTGCCGTATCCACACGATTCAGGGGAAGACGGGGAAGACGTAAGAAATCTCACAGCATACAATTAAGAAATGATCGGAAGGTTTTTAGATCTGGCATTTCCTTCTGTTCTTCCTTTACAGGTATCAAAATCCATGCTCCGAGGCAGCATCTCCCTGGAATTGGTTGAAAAAAAGAATTGTTTCCTGCAAGGATAATTTTCCCTTCCTCAATTTAATACAGATTAGCGTCAGGAGTATTCGTCAATGTGGTCATCTGCTTTTGTGGCTTTATGCAACAGCAGCTTTTCCTGGATTCCTTCTCGAATATCTTTCAGCTAGACATTACGCTGATTCCTTGAGACTTCATTTATTTACTCTTTTGTATATTTATTCAGCTTAGTTCAGTGCATGGTTGGGTTCCCCTCAGTGTTGATAACAGCCTGCTCTAGATACACCTCAGTCTTTGTTTAAGCTGCCTGTGCCAGAAAACTGGCTTACAGCATTTGTTCTCTTTCTCCCTTTGGTTCACACTGGACCGTTTTGAGAAGCAGACAGCAACTAACCCGGTGCTTCTTATGGACGAAGCACTCGCTAGGCTGTTTATGAAATAGCTTCTCTCTGACTTAATTTCCTATCAAGAGGTTTTTAAATCTGTGCAAGATTCCTTGCTGGCTTCCCTCCCACCCACCAGGCTCTTGACAGCAGCCACCCTCCAGGCACGCCGGGAGCAGACAGAAGCGTGTCACTGCGGCAGCATCGCGCAGTCCCCGTGCCCTACCTGCCCACGCGTCCAAGGGCACGGGGGACAGGCGCAGAAGGTGGGTAGGTGCCTTCTGGACCAGAAAACCAAACCAGCTGACATGCTAAAATAGAATGAATATAATAAAACAAGTGAAAATAATGAGAGCATACGTTCCTCTGTGCAAAGGGAAGACAACTTATGTTTTTACATCCTTTTGAAGCAGGGTAAGTATAAAAAGAGAGAGGGAGGTGAACAAAGACAGCCACCACAAAGAGCAGCATCCCTTCCCCTGACAGGTGGCCACGTCACAGCATTTTCCAGCGTGCAAAGAAAGGGATACTCGTGTCTCCAAGCTAATCAATAAGTTAACATCTACCAAGCCAGCAATCGTTACTGGAGATGTCTTGATCTTCCCCCGCCTAAAGGTCTGCCACCTTATACACATCGCTCCACATTCGACATTTGTCACAGCGTTGTACCTTTTAAACGAGAGGTCTTTGGGGGAGAAAATTAAATATGCCTCAAATTCAGAGGAATTAATTAGTTTTCTGTCTACCCATGTCAAACCAGAACACCCGTTTAATGTCAAGGATCTCTAGGGAACTAATCCAAGTTAAATTTAAGGCAATTTGCTAGTAGTTAAAAATTCAGGAAGCTTCAAAACCCTGTGCTCTTGTATCCCAATTTCACATGCTGTTTTGTGGCCTGTTGTTGGGTGTTTGTTCCCCCCACCCCACCCTCTCATCCCCTTTTTCCTGGTAACGATAATTATCACTCAGGTCTTTTCCATATTCTGAAGGATTTCAAAGCTGAACACCTCCTCAAATTCTTTTGGCCTTGGCCTCTGATGACAGCACATGGCCACAGAGTTTTCCAAGAAGTCAATGAACCATAAAAGCTCATCTGTAGATTTTCCACAAGCTGTAGGATATCAGGTTTTCTCCATAAATCAGTTCACAGATAGTACAGTAATTGAATTCCATTACTTTTCAAAAAAAATAAAAAATAAATCCCTAAACAAACAACATGTGCATACAACAGCAAAAAAAAAAAAAGAAAAGAACAAAATGTGAGCAAATTTAATCATCACCTTCATGCAAACTTGTGTCAAGCTACAGCACAGCTTTTTGCTTTTCCGTGCTGTCAAAAACCTGGTCTTAAAGTAAGCATTAATAATTTATATAAACTTTAACCCCAGCTAGAACGAGCCTAGTTCTGCAAATATATCATTTATGAAAGCTGTTTATTTTACACTATCAGCGCCGTTGTTTGAACATGAAAATATCACCCGATGGCATAATAGCAGTCTAAATAAACAAGATATTCACCTAATGTGAATTTTGCCTACAGAGAAAAAGAAGAACCAGTAATACTTACAGAGCCAATCTCTCAGCATGCATACCCACAATAAATCCTCTGGCCAAAATCTCAACGCCAGTAAAATTAAGGGGTTCAAATCAGTCGCACCTAAACTCAGTAAATTATTTGAATTCTGACAAAAAGCCACAGCCAAGAAATGCAGTACACAGATGTAAGCCTCTACCGTACCGTCCCTTGGGAAATCGTGGGGACAAAAATAAACTCCAAAGTGCTTCGTTCCCTTCACTCAGAAGGAAAGCTGCAACTGCAGAAACTGGACTACAGTTTTTCTGATCAGTTGGAAGTCCTGCACAGGGGAAAAACACTTTTTGCTCTCTCGCAAAATATAAGCTAACCTGAAAACTGAACTACACGGCACTTATTTTGTTGTAATTTTCTAAGCTGAAGTTGCTGCACTTAATGCTAAGGCCTCCCGTGAGCGAGCACCAGCGCTCCCAGCAGTGCGCTGCTCCATCAGCCACGCTGAGCTCCCTGGAGAAAACAGGCCAACTGGAATTTAACCAAAAATGTGTTGTTTCCTCCCCCATCTCCCTCCAGAGAAAAGGAAAAACAGATTAAGGAAGAACTTAAATTCACTCCAACAGTTCATTATACCAAAAAAAAAAAAAAAAAAGAAAACAAACAAAACACAAACACACCCCATTTCTCTGCTTCCCCCATGTCCTTTCCATGTCTCCACTCCCAAGACATTCCAGCATTTTTTAAATTCCTCTATGAAGGCGCTCTGTAAGGTGAGATTGGGCTTGGAGCTCCTCCTTCCACAAGGCACAGAGCGTGTACGAGTTTCACTTTTACCTAGTTAAAGACAACAGAAATAGGAAGGATTCCTCCTCTGTATGTACCCTATGCCGGAGGGGAAAAAAAGAAAAAAAAAGAAGGAAACCACAACGTAACCTTAGCAACTGAAAAGGACAGTACCTATACTTAGATTATTCTCCTAAATGAGAGAGAAAGCAGAAGAATCAGGATATTAATGGATGTCAACTCCCTGCAAAGACACCACTCACTGAGTCTTTTCAAATAGATCTCTCCACAGCTCAACTTTCTCACCAGTGGATTTGTGGAAGAAGGGCACACAATTCTAGAGCAGTGTTAATTTCTTTAGACTGGATACCCCAAAACTGCATTTGTGGTTTATTCAGTGTATTAACAGCTTATGAACAGTTGTCACAAAACAAATTCTCCTGCTCTATTTCAATTCAAGAAGCCAGTTTTTCTTTGTTTAAGTTGGTTGCTCCAGCCACAGCTCTGAATTCAAAGAGCCATAGATGGATGTTCGTACACAGACCAAACCAGGCCCCTGGCCCAAGGAGGTTACTCACAACTCGTGGCTTCATGAAAGCAGCAGTATCACTTTTCCCTTGTGAATGGGGTTAACAACATTTAATTATAGCCAAGCAGTGAACTGTTCATCCTTATGGGTTAGGAATCACATGAAGAAATAAGTCCCTGTCATTCAGTTGGAGAAAGACTGCAGAATTACAGCAAATGCAAGGATTTGAGGCATATGGTTTTCAGTGAACCTTAAAACAAAAACCAAAAACGCACCCCCACACACCTAGTTGCATTTTTATTAACAGACTTGAGAGGGACCCTCAAATCTTATTGACTGTAGGACCAAAAAGTAAATAAACAAACCGCCTTCCTACCAATATTTAATTAACATCTGCCTGAAGGGGGTTCACTAAAATGTCTCTAATTTCAAGCCAATGCCACGCCACCATTCAACAACAGCACACCAGCATTTCCACTCAGCATCCCTGTTGTAGTTTCTCTCCAGAAAGCAGCAGCAGGGAAGCATTACACCTCCAGTAGCCCTAACGCTGGCAGAGCTCATTTCACTGCTGCTTGTCAGTGCAGGTGAAGGGATTTCACCCCCATCGGTCCCAATCAGATTTAGTCAGGAAATACAGTTAAGTCTAACACAATATCGTCAGGTTGTAACTGCCTCCACCGTGGAAATATATAGATGAAAATGTAATTAGGAACCGAAGGAAGGCCAATTTCAGCAAGAATAAGGACACTCAAAAACTCCGCGTGCTTCCAGTCTTTCAGCCCTCCTGCTAAAGCGTTGCTTCTGCAGCCTAAACAAGGACCACGAGCAAAACCTAATGCCCGTGAGCAGAACATTAAATAACAGAGCTGTGATTAAACATTTCACAACTTTCAGCCAGTGCCTTGGCTTTGAGCTGCCAAGCATCCACCTGAAGCTACTGGGCCAGATAAAGCCTGCTGAAAGCCGCAGACTACAAAACTGTAGCAAGATGACGGGGCTTCTTCTGAAGGTATCTTCGAAAAATTCAGATATTAATCATCATTAACTGACAGCGTGTGAAGAATTTCACAAGAAAACCAGGTTTGAAAGTGAAATCTAGGGGAAAACTGTTAGCCTGCACAGTTTGGAGGGAGAGCAATTAGAAATCAGAATTAGTGGAGAAAAACAAAACCATCAGAAATTAAGTTTTTGCTGGAGTGTTGTTCGATTAATAATTAGGGAAAAGATTTGTAGTGATCTTGTTAGAGAAAACATGCAAACTTCAAATAATGCAAAAAAAGAAGAAAAAACGCAATTATTTCTTACCAGTAACAAACTGGGTTCCAGGTCTGGTGCTTCTCCTACAACAGCTGAGGACATCAACAGTCCTAGGGCAGCACAGGCAGTGCACTTTTCTTGACCTTCTGATAGCACTGGTAGAAACTCTTGTAGAAGAAAGGCAGAGCTATGATAAAAGACAAAAACAGAAGTTATTAACATTAAACAGCAAGATTTCTGAACAGCATGACGATACAGTTTTGAAGTCCTTTCCCTGCAAACTCACCTATTTATGATCTAATGAATGATGTTGACTCAAAGCATATTAATACACTACAGGTAATTAAAGCCAGATTACCTTTTTGCAAGAGCATCATCAAGAGTTACTTCTTCAAAGTACGGCAAAAAACTGTCTAATTTTGGATACAAAAACTTCAAACAGATCCTTGAAACAACAGTGCTTCCTGTTTGGTAGCTTTTCAAAACATTCTCGCTTTAATGACTTTTTAAAGAGACATTTGTGGCCTGAAGGACACTAATTCACCTTATCTGACCTATATAAGGCCGACGCTAAAAAATTACCGGTACAATTTCTTTAGAAAAATTGTATTTGCAATGGAATATTCAAGAGAATTTCCTCTTGAGACATCAAATTGCCAGTTTCTGCTGGTCAGTGCCATTCTAGGTTAAGAGACTGCACAATCCCAAGACTTTTTCCTGTGTAAAACGTAAGAGTCTAGGTGTACTGAGGCACATTGAGATAGACTTCTGAATTAAAACATTACCATTTGTAATTATAATGCAGAGAAACCAGGAATAATTCATCTACACAAAGGCTTTGCCTGGTGAGGATGCAGCCACTGTATGTTCTTATACACCTTTTTTTTACATGAAAAAGAGAGGATTGTCTGCAAAATACACTCGCTACACCTGCAGCATTTAACTTCAGCTAAAACTTCTGACTCTAGTTTATTCCAAACTTTATCTTGTTTATATACTATTAGCTATTACAGTGAAGCATTTTCCATCTCTGTATTTTAGATGCATCTTCAACACTAGCTCTTTTAGTGAAAATATGTTATAAATCAATAGTGTTGACTTCACGACTGACCCTCTCTAACAACAGATTGTGAAAGCAAACATCAAAAGATACAAATGAGGAAGCTTTTCCAATATAAACTAATATCATTATAAATGGTGAAATAGCATATCTAATAAACAAATGAAGTAAAAAATGAAAATCCAAGCGTTTTTATGGCAGCGAGCTTAACTGTGAAAATCTTGAAAACAAATACAACCCAATTCAAGCAAATAACATCGACTTTGTTCTCAATTTCTATTTCAGACTGCCAAGTCTTGCCTTTCTCTAATTCTGATTGCTTCTCTACAGCGATTGTGTTGGCTAGCTCTTTTTAGTCCTATTATTTAGGCAGTTTAAAAAAATAAAAGGAAGAGGGGGGGGTCGGAGGGGCACGACCAACACAAATACATGGGAAATTATTTGGTTAGAAAAGTATAAAATTAATATCTACTTTCAAGTAGTCTTGGAACTGTTACTTTTAAGGCTCTCATTTCCACCCTTGTCCCAGAGTCGCAGAATAAGCCAGAACAGCCCTGGTGAGACTGGGAAAGTTGAGACCCTAGCCTATTTTGTTCTGCTCTTCAATTTTTCCGTGTCTCATCAAAACTGGACAAAACCCAAGTGATTGTCATTACCAGAGCCACCCTTACCAGAAGGTAGGAGCAGGAGAACAGCCCACAGGCGTTTCTTCAGCTTTTGCAGTGGGGTAACATTTCCAAGCAAGCCTTTGTAATCAACGTTAAGTCAAATTTTATTAAAAAACTGGGAGCCTTAACGACAATGTAATCTCCAGCTCCTCTTTCCCTTTCCATGACCGCATCACAAAAATATCTTTAGATGCTCAGAACTTACCAATATTTGACAGCGTTTTCTGTTAGCAAAAACACATGCCACGATGTTTCACAGCTGAGCAGTGCATGATTTAACGATCAGAGGAACACGGGCTCTGGTAACAAGCTCCAAGAGTTTCTTCAGATGTTCTATGTTTGGGAACGGAAAGAACAGGAGGGGAAAAGTGAAAATCTGCACTAATACAAAAACTTCATTGTCACTTAACGAGAAGGAACAGTTAACAGAACTGAGCATTTACAATACTCTTTCCCATCCCGAACAGTACATATTCCGAAATATTTCCATAACTGAGCAAAGGGAAAGTGACTTAAGACCTTGTAGGAAGTTAAAGGAAGGGTTTCACATGAAAATTGAGGACACCGAAAAAACCATGCACCCAGACCACAGTGCTTTGAGGAAGTCTCTGCCAAAAACTACTTGTTAACATTGCTTGAAGATGTATTATAACAACGGCGCACGCTCTAATTAGCATCACAAAGACCTCATTAATGTTTACATGACACCTGCAATCCGCACGCTTTACATGGGGTTAACATTAACCTAACCTCGCGGTTACACCGATACCCACCACCAGTGCAAAAAAAAACAGAGAATTTGCCCAAAGTTGCAGAAAAACGAAGTGTCTGCATGGTACAAAACTACCAAATTTTAGCTCTATTCCTGCCCAACTCTACTGAATCACTGCAAAGCCAGTGCCACGCTCACGGTACGGAGCAGCCGTGCTCTGTACCTGCGTGCGTGCCGCTTGTTCCTCTTTGCGAATATTTAGAAATTCTAAAGAAAACTCACCGAGACGTACCAAAAAGCCGCAAGTGCCCAGGAAAAGGGAGGATTTCTACGTGCCATGCTGTGACAGCGACAGAGCAGGAGGCACCTTCCCCACGGGGCACCACGCACGCTATTCATCCTGAATGCTCCCATGCGCCGGTACTTCCACCCCACGCTCCACTTTTCACCATTTCCCCATAATTTCCAGCCCCGTCCACGTGCCCATCCCTCCAGCACGGCCGCTGGTTTCGCTGCTTGGGGTCTGAGCCCTGCTCTCCCCATCCCCAGCCTGATGCAGAAGGGGAGGAACGGACCCAGTGCCGCCGAGCGCAGTAAGAACATGGGAAAGCCCACTCAAGTTTAAAATCAAGCTTATTTCGGGGTACGATGCTTAAATCTGGCAATACCAAAAAATACAAGAAAGCAGCTACATGCCTATTTGCTAGGATAACAGTAGGGATTAAAGACACCCCGAAAAAAGCTGGCTGCCCATGGCTAGCACGAAGCTTACCTGTCCGAGCGATGCTAGCGCCCACGAGATCTGAGCTGCCACTTAAAAGAAAGGAGCCACAGAAATAACCTCTGCCAAAGACCTCACGCTTGCGTATCTGATAGCCAAAAACCAACCCAGAAAGCACCTCAGGAAAAGCAAGTGAACAGCGGGCTCACCACGCTGGGAATTGCCCTGAAGGGCGCTTCCCCCAAAATAACGCTCCCAGCGGCTTTTTCGCTAGGGGATCTTTGGTGAAGTTCCCAAACCCGGCGCGTAAGAGCAGAGGGAGGCCAAGAAGGAGGAAGCATCGAAATGTAATTTTGAAAGAGAAGTGCCACGGCGGGAGGAGCCGAGAAGGGCACCTAAAGGCAGAAAAGGGATCGGGAATGACCCAAGAGTAAAAAATCGAGCAGCGCAAAACCGAAGATGCCGGTCGAGGGGCTCTGTGAGCCAATCTGGATTTGTTTCTGTAATTCCTTCCGCAAGCCCTTCGTGCCTTGGGTGAGCCCCCACTTTGTACTTTTTTTAGTAGAAATCTTTTCTTTTTTTCCCTTATCGTAGCCGATCAAACCGAGAGGCAGCAGGAAGCCAAGGAGGACCCGCAGGTAGCAAGAAGGAATTCAATCGGCTGGTTTTTATATTTAGGCACCACCTCGCTCTCCAGTCCGACGGGGCTGTTGGGAGTGCTGCATCCTGATGACTTCGTTTATCAGCGCTTAAATTAGTCGGGTGTCAGGTTTGGGTATTTTAAGCGCCTAATGGCTAATACAGACCATCCATCCCTCCAGCTTCCCTCCAGCAGCGTGTTAGGGCGAAAAGTGCAGGTTTTGGGGATCCTTTCATCAAGGAGCCAGCTAACGGCCGGGAATATCAGCTCGCTTTCTGCAGAAACCTTCAGCACGCGGTGGGAAACACCAGAAAGAAAAGTAGCCGGGGTGGAATAAGCATTTCGTTCAATACATAAAGAGGAAAAAAAAAATATAACCAGGAATTGAAGCGCTCCCAGGTATAAACATATTCCTTAATATGTAAAACCCTACTCACTTTTCTAAGTAGGGTTCTTAAGCAGCTCGGTTCTTGGCACACACCCCGACATTCTTGTTACTAAGTTTATTTTAATCCATCCCCAAGCTGGTAGCTGCGTTTGTCGAATATTTCTGAGGCCTCGGTGCCTCGTTATAGGAAAAACGGAGTTGGGGTCTCCTGTAGGGCCAACGCGAGGCAACCGCCAGCGTTTGCAGGACGTTTTCCTTCTTGTCCAGGCGAATAGCCGAAATAACAGGACAGGAAGGCTCACAGCTGCATGGGCTGGGATAAAAGCTAGCCACGTCCCAAAAAGCAGGGCAAAAAGGTCGGGTTTGGTACCTGTTAGGTGCCTGCAAAGCCCTGCTGGAAATAATTCACGGTGTGCCCTTACCTCGTGGAGCAGGTCTGCAGCCACTCACAATTGGTGCCGAGGAGCTCACCCTGCCTGCAAAGCGCTCAGAAAGCGTCCAAACCTGGTATTTTGGGACCAGTCAGAACAAAAAAAAAAAAAAAAAAAATCAAAAAACTGCTGCTTCTTAAACACAGGGGCGTGAGAGAAACGTAAAGAAACTGCTCAGGAAACAGCTGCCCGCGGCTATCTTCGCAGGGACAGAAAACCCCCAAAAATCTCGTGGGAAATTCGGGGAGGACCGCGGGCCAGCTCGAGCTTACTAAGAGCGAGGAGGCTGAGCACAGCTCTGACTTTTCATGGCTTTGCCGGCCAGCACAGAGGTGACTATTTAGAAGAGGTGACTAAACGTTGGCACCCGGGCAGGGGAATCTGACGGGGGGCAGCGTGGCCCCAGAGATGGGACACAGGATGGGAACTGAATCCCGAGCAGCTGTCCTAAAACCAGGCACTGCCCTGCATCCCAGCACACCGAGGCAGGGCACGGGAAGGTGTTAGGCTGAAAATTTTAACCCTGAGCTCTGACAGTGTCGCTGTGCTTGGCCAAACACCAGGAAAAAGGTGGTGGAAGCCCCCCCGGACGCAGGGCTTTGGGCAGGCAGCGCGCCCCCCCCCGGGACGCCTCCCTCGGCTCCTCAATGCTTCGAGGTTCAAATATCATGGGTGATAAAAACACAGGTAAAGCCACACGCTTAAAAATATCCCGGGTGGTAAGGCAAAAAGCAAAATATAAAGCTGGTATTAATCCCTTTGTGCCAAGTGTCAGAATTCCCTAGCGCGACGCCCCTAGGAACGGACACGAGCTTAATAAATTAAATAAAACACGTATGGGATACCCACAGCAACTGCAGGAGGAAGAAAAAAAAAAAACAGGAATGGTTTTTGATCAATTTTGGGGGAGCACAGAGAGCAGGAACATCCAGGGGAAAAAAGTCCCAGGGAAGGCTGAGCTGTTTATGAAATAATTCGGCCCTGAAAGCAGGCGGGAATAGTTTGGGTTGGGTGTCAGCCTGCTGGAAGGACAGGAAACTTCGCCGAGAGACTTCAAAAACACCCATCTAAAAAAAAAAACAAACCAAAAACTCCACGCCAGTGGCTAGGGAAGGAGAAGAGATTTCAGGATATGCCCAACACGGCAGCGGGGGAAAAGGAGGCGAATTAGCAGCAAATCACAGATCCTTCACTTCTCCTCCCAGCAGAGGACTGGGGGGGGGCTGTTGCTGAACTGGTTTTCCTCCGAGCACTTCCAGTTATAAAGAAAAAAAAAAAAAAGCAGCAAACCTCTCGCAGAGAACATCCCCGCTGTTGTACAACTGTCCCAGAAAACAAAGACCACGGGGAGCGAGTGGCCCATTTTCCGCAGCCTCCCAGAACCCCGCGGCCAGGTCAGGTTTCCGAAGGCTCGGCCGGGCGCGCTTGCGAACCAAGCAGCGATTAAAGGCTCCGGGGAAGGGCTCGACGTGGGAATTATGACAATTCCCACAATATCCCCTCTCCCCGCTCCCTAAAACCGCCTCGATTACAGCTGCGAGTTCAGCTGCAAGCGCGTTTCCCCCTCCTGGCCAAGCCGTATGAAACCCAAAGCTGATTTTTTTTTTTTTTTTTTTCCCCGTTTCAGTCCCATCCCATCCCACCCGTGCACCAAACCCAAAAAAAACCCACACCAACACCACGCTCGGCACCCCCACGACGGCGCTGCTACAGCTCGCTCCCATCCCCATACCCGTTTCTCGCCAGTTTTCCCCCAAAAAAACACCTTAAAGCAACAAATCCTCGCCGCACGCTGAAAATATTGTGACTAATAATACACTCCACCCATTTTTCCCCCCCCCCCCTCCATCACCGAGGATTTCCAAATACAAAAACTTGACGAGCCGGAGAGAATTTAAGAGCGGTGATGGTAAATCCTATTTCTGATTAAAAAGCGCTATAAAAAAATAAAATAAAAGGTGAGCAAGGGATGGAGAGAAGCAAAAAAAGCCACCCGGGCACTGCGAGCTCCTTCCTCGGTTTTACCTTTTTCCTCACTCTTCTGGGGTAACCCGAGCTTTTCCTTCCAATCCCCGAGGAGAACCCAAAAAAATTGAAAAAGCGACCAAAAAGGTAAAATCCTCCCTTTCCCCGTCCGGAAAACAGAGCGGCTCCAGCTGCCGAGGCATTCAAGCAAGAAATACTTGGTGGAGTTGGGAGAGCCGGGATGGGATCCGGAGGCGATGCCGGGGAGCAGCCGAAAACACCCGGCACGATTCGGGTACAGGTGCCCAATTAACGAAGCTCCCGTTAACGACCCCAAGCCGAAAGGTGGAGATTGCAAGAAGAAAAAGGAGGAGGAAGCCGGCTGAGGAGGGTCCGAGTCGCCTTTGTTTTCTCCTTGCCTGGGCAGGTGCCGAGAGAGAGGGGAAAAAAAAAAAAATCAAGCCAAGGGGGGGGGTCCCGCGGGGCGCTCGGTGTCCCCCGCGTCCCCCGTCCCGAAAAGCGGCTCTGGGGCTGAGTTCTCAGGGACTTGGTGGAGGGTTTCGGGGAGGGGATGGGGACACCCAGGGGTGGGCACGACCCCAAACCCCGAGCCCACTGTCACCAACGTCACCCGCTTTTGGGGTTGGGGAGGGGGCTCGGAGGGTGCCCCCCCCCTCCCCGGTCACTCGGTGCACTTGTCACAGCGCCGGGAAAGCCGCCTCCATCCGCCCCGAAAAGCAGAGCTGGGTTTTTTAAAAAATAAAATAATAATAATAATAAATAAATAAAATTAATAAAAAAATAAATGGTAAGAAATGAAATAATCCCAGGGTCACTTCCCCCCCCCCCCCAGCTCGGCAATTAAAATGGAGGCGAGGCCGGGCGGGCTGCGGCTGGCTTTAGGGGGAGACAATAAACCCAAAACAGGCCTGGCTTTAAAGAGAAGGGGGGGGGGGAAAAAAATAATTAATTAAATAAAAGGGATAAATAAATAAAAAAGAGGAGGAAAGGAGCGGATCGCAGCGTGCGCCTCACCACTGCCGTGGGCCCCCCCCCCTTGTGCAGCCCTGGGGTTGGGCTCCCCGCGAGGTCCCGCTGCAAGTTGTGGGGTGGGGGCCGGGGAGAGGAAGGCTTTGGAGCCCCCACCCCCCAAAAAAAAAAAAAAAAAAAAAAAAAAAAAAAAAAAACCCAAAAGCCCAAACCTGACCCCAAATCTTCCCCCCCTACTCCCCACAAGGGGCTCCCCCCGGGGGGGGGCTCTGGGCGGGCTCGGAGCTCCCGTCGGGTGTTGACGCAGCAGAAATTACCGGCTGGAAAATTCCCCTTTCGGAGAGGGGACGGGAAAAAAAAATTAAAAAAAAAAATAAAAAAATAAAAAAAAATAAAAAAGGGGGGGGGACAAGGGGGAAGGGAGGGACCTAAGGGGGTTTAAACCCTGCCTAGGGGGGGGGGGCACCCCCCTTCCTCCTCCTCCTCTTCCTCTTCTTCTTCTTCGTCTTCTTCTTCTTCCAAGCTCTCCAAGCACTGAGGGGGGGGGGACACGGGGACACAGAGGGGGGGGCACAAAACACTGGGGGGGGGCACGGACACTGAGGGGAGGGGGGGGGGAAGGGGAGGGACAAGGGGACACACACCAAGGGGGGGGGGGGACAGAGGCAGTGGGAAAGGGGACACCGGGGGGGGGGGGGGGGGACACAGACACAAGGGGGGGGGGGCAACACAGCGGGGGGGTCACCAGGGAGGGGGGGGGGGGACACTAGAGGAGGGGTCACGGACAGGGAAAGGGACACGGGGGGGGGTCACACACACTGGGGGGAGGGTCACAGGCACCGGGGAGGGGTCTTGGACACCGGGGGGGGGTCACACATATTGGGGGGGGGGTCGTAAGCACCGGGGGGGGGGTCACAGGCACTGAGGGGGGGGGGGGGAGGACACTGGGGGGGGGGGCACAGGCACCGGGGGGGGTCGTAGGACACCGGGGGGGGTGTCACGGATACCGGGGGGGGGTCACACACACTGGGGGGGGTCTTAGGCACCGGGGGGGGTTTGAGGGGGGGGGTCCACACCCCCCTTGCCCCCCCCCTCCTCCCTCTGACAATGCCCCCGGCGGTAACCAACGGGGCGGCGCCCGGGCACGGCCCTTGGGGGGGGGGGGTTAACGGAGATGAGGGGGGGGAAAGGGGAAATTATGGGGTGTGGGGGGGGGTCGATAATAACGGGGGGGGGGCGGCCCCGCTTACCTGAGCCCCGCGGAGCGGCCGGAGCGCGCGGGCGCCGTCGGTCACCGGGGGCGGGAGGGGGCGGGGGGGGGGTGTGAGGGGGGGGGGGGGGAAGGAGGGGAGGGGGGGGGGAAGCGGCTGGATGGGGAGGGAGGGAGGGGGGGGGGAGAAAAAAAGGGGGAGGGGGAGGGGGGGGGCACCCGGGCGCGCTCCCGCCGCTCCCTCGGGCGCGCGGGGCGCGGGCCCGCGGCGGGCAAAGGGGGGGGGGGGGAGGGGGCGTGGCCTCGCGGCGCGTGCCGCCGCCTGGCCCCGCCCATTGGTGGCCAAAGAGAGGGCGCTGATTGGCTGGCGCGCGGCGCGGGTTGAGGGGAGGCCACGCCCCCGGCCACGCCCCCTTTTGCTCCTCGGCTCCGCCCCCTTCTCCCCCCCCTCCCTTTCCTTGCGCCGGGGGAGCGCGGGGGCGCCGCCGGCGGCTGTGGCACTGCCGGACACCGGAAGTGAGGGAGAGCAGAGGAGATGAAAGGGGGGGGGCGCGCGCTCGGGGCTGAGCGGCGCGGGGCATGATGGGATAGCGCGGGGCTGAGCCCTGAGGGGAGCTGAGGGGCTGGGTCCTCCAAGCTCCCCCCTGGCCAGGCTCGGTGTGGCTGTGAGGGGGCTGTGCCCGGCGCCCCCCGTGGTCCTGCCGAAGCAGGAGGTGCTCGGGGTGTTGTGCTAAGAGTCACCAAGCACCACCTGTGTCCTAAAAGTGTGGAAATTAACCCCCAGAGGTGTAAAATCCACCCCCACATCACCCCCCCCTCAATAAACGCCCCCCCGGGGTTTGGAGCTCCCCTCATGGTTTCTTTCCCCTCATCCCAAGCAAGCCTCAGTGTCCCTGTGGGGAGTGCCCTTCATTTCCAGCCACCCCGCACATTCACGTCACCCCACGGGTGTTTTCCAGCCCTGTAAAAAGCACCAAAATCCCCTTTTTTTGCACCCAAAATGCTCAGTCTGTGTGGAACCGTCCCGCTGCACACTGCGGGGTCGGATCCTCACACACCTCTTCGAGGCTCCGCACTGAAATGTGAAGCACTGCTACAGGGATTAGTGGAAATCGGAGCTATACCTCTAGTCAAATTTATCTTTTCTATATCAAATCCATCACATAAAACCTGCTGCTATGAGCCCCCTCCCCATCCCTGCTCCTCGGTTTGAACCCGAGCCCACCCCGCCACCCCACAGCCACCCGCGCCCCTTCGGTTTTTCTTCCTGCCCCGTGTTTCTTCCTCAGGTCTTTTCTGGCAAAAAAAAAAAAAAAAATGATCGTGGATCTCGCTGTGTTATCCAGCAGCAGCCGGGACACGGCCCCGGCAGCCCCCCAAGGAGGGCAGGGTGATGTTGTGCCTGGGGCTGCCACCCCCACAGGCTTCAAACAGCTTGGGAAGGTTTCGTATTTTTCTGCCATTAAGGTTTTATATTCTTTTGCCATGAAGGTTTCGTATTCTTTTGCCATCGCGTGTAGCTCCCTCCCCTCCCTAATGAGAAGCGTGTATTGTGTTTTAGGTAAATACCGCAATTACTCAGCCTGTCCTTAGGAGAGAGGTGGTTTCTCCTCGTTAGGAAGGAAAGAATGCACGTGGGAAAAACGAAGAGAAAGGGGGAAAGGAGAAACTGGAGGAAAAATCAGTGTGGCTCACGTGGTTTTGGTGTGCAAATCGCCATGAACAAGGTGTGAGAGGAGTGGCGAGGAGCACAGCCATGGACATCTTTTGGAGGAATATCAGGGACCGCACGTGTCCGGGCTGAATCGAGGCCCTTTACGTGCCCCCCTTCCCAAACTGTGTCACCCATCTCCTCAAGGACTTTTCCAGCTTTTAGCCCCAGGGGAAGCAGGTAGAAGTCGTGTTCCCCGACTTCTTACCAACATTTACACGTGTTGGTGAATTCTGCTGGCTGTTGTGTGCCCATGGCTGGGATCTTTCAGGAGAAAACCCCAAGGAAGGTGGCGGTGCCCGCAGCCAGCCCTGCCATGCTCCCTGGGGTCGGGAACGGCACCGGGGGAAAGCTGCAGGACTCTGATTGCAGGTCCTGTGTTCAGCACTGCCCTGTCTCACACCCATCTCGGTTATCGGGGATTTTGCATTTAATAAATAAATTTGATTTCTTGTGTCTTTTTCATGTGGTTGGTTCGGAAGCGTGCTGAAAAAGCCAAGTTGCCTAATTACTCCGATTTTGTTTTGCCTTTTTTTTTTTTTCTTTTGTTTCTCTACAGAATTGTGTAGAGGAAATAGAGGTGCAAAAAGATCCTGAGAGATCTGTGGTCTGCAAGCTCTGCTTGCCAAGATCCCCTTTTTGTTTCCACGCGGCTGCTCCGCGTGCTGGAGATGTGAATCCCCATCACCAAAGCCTGCTCTTTCCTAACCCGTGCAGGAAGGAAACAATTTCGCAGGGCTCTGCTCCTGCCCCGTGCCTCAGCCCCGGAGCCCTGAACATCCCGGGACCATCAGCCAAGCCCAGGGCAGCTCCCAGCTGCTGAAAGAAAGGGTTAAGGGACCCACATTCCTGTCCCTATTGCTCAGGACCAAAGGTCAGCGGGGTTTTTTACCACGAAGGAAGGGAGGGAGGTGGTGCACAGCCCTGACCAGGTCATTTTAGGAGTGAACCACATCTGAGGCGAGCTAATGAAGCCGTGTTTGTCTCTCTCTCTCGCATGCTCATACTCCCAGTCGGTGCTTGGCGAGTTGGAATTCCTGCCCTAGTGGGAGTGAGCGTGTCGATTGTATTTTTTCCATGATGTGTATTGAGGCATTTGCTAGGTTGTGGGAGTAAACACTTGGGGGAATTCTCCATGAGCTAGCGAGGGCAAGTCACAAGCCTACTAAATATGGTGAATGGAGCCTGAAAAAAAAAAATAAAATAAAAAAAAACAACACACAACACACAAACCCTGGAGAATAAAACTCCCTCTTCCCACCCAGCTCCCCACCACCGCCACCCCCGCCTGCGCTTTCTCATTATCTCGCTCTGCTCTTTGACTGCTGGCTGGGCGAATCCATTCCCCTTTGCACGGCCGAGCACGCCGTGCTGCTCGGGGTTTGTGCCCTGCCCTGAAGGGTGCGGGGATCCCACAGCGGGGAGCAGCAGGAAATGCTCCCAGGTCCGTAAATACCGGAGTGGGTGAGAGATGATGTTCATGAGCAAAGTATTTGGCCCGCCGCATCCCGCTGACCTCCTTCGGTGCTGCTCTGGCCGGGGACTGGCCGGGTTCACGAGCAGTTGATCATTAATGCTCCAGAAATGCCTTCCCCTTCCAGCCCCGCAGCGGGGAATTGTCCAGGCAGGGCTTAGCACAGCTCCTGGGGCTGGTGGAGGATCGTGGATCCCGCTGCAGGTGGCACGGGGACAGGGTGCTTGGGGTGCCCAGAGCAGCGTTGGGATCCTCCGGCCCCATCAGGGAGCCCTGGGGATATCCCCCTGGGGATATTTTGGGTCCCAGCAGAGCCACCCCTGGGGGCCAAGCCCAAGCAAATGGAGCTCTGCCCCATGGATGCTGCTCACCTCCACCAGGGTTTCTCCCTGCTGCATTTTACACCTGAGCACTGCTCGTTCCTTTAGCTCCCCTCGTGCTGCAGCCCCTTTGGAAATGGGGATCCCAAATGGGATCCCAAAATGGGATCCAACTCAAGCCCCAGCCAGGGACGGTGCCCTGACGATGCGCTCATCCTTAAAGCCTGCCTTGCCTCTCCATCAAGCGAAAGCATCCCGAACTACTCGATGGTTAAGAGAGGTTCAGCT